AAATAACTTTTTCATTTGCCCCATCTATCTGCCCCTGACCCGCCCCCCCCCCGTTCAATTTTAGGACAATTGTGGCCCCTGAGTCAAAAAGTTTGCCCACGCCTGAGCTATCCTAAAGAACGCCTATTTACGTAGAAAGAAAAATCTATCAAATTGAATTGCAGTGTACAGTATATCGTTTTCTGTGCTTGTATTTAACAGCTGTTGAATAAAGCGCTTTGATTATTAGCGACTAAGGTTTTTTGCGATTATGTTACACGATGAGCCACGTCCTCCTGCAATATTAAACACAAATATATATCAATAAAGAATAATCATAAAAAAAAACCATGTTGCTTATTTTTTTGTTTGTTGAGTGATAAAATACATAACTGTGAGGGAAGAATATGTACTGGACATAAAATAGTAACAGATGGATCTTTATTAAACATGAAGGAAAAGAGAAACTGAACACCTGAGTGGATGAAACGGTGGATAAACTGTTATTGTTGTCATGTTATCTGTGTTGTTGATGTTAAAATTCTATGCATAGACAACAGTATACTATACATTATCACTATGGTATTACAATTTGACAGCTGTTCTCATGTATTTACGTACTGTATATACATGTATATGTGTACATATACATGTATATACACACACATATACATATCTAAACTGTTAAAGCAAGATAAAATAGCATTTAAAATGTCATCCTAACCAGAATAATACCCTATAGTGTCCATAATATTCCTAACCAATATATTATTATTATCATCATTATTATTATTCTATATATATAAATTAACAAGCATAGTATGAATATAGTACACACACATATATATGATTCTGTTCATTAAATACATGATCATATATATATAGAAATTAACAAGCATAATATGAATATAGTACACACACACATAAATATATATACATATATTTTTAAATATATGTATATATATTTATATATATATGTGTATATTATATATATATTCAGGTATTAGATGACTAACATTTAGTAAATGTATAAATATATTTTAAAAGGCATAGTCTGAATGTAGTTTATATGATGACAGACAGGGCCAGAATATAGGGAAATTACTTTTTGCACATTCAATGTCTTCCTAAGGGTTGTCTGTTTATAGCTATTCAAAAATAGGCACAGAATTAAAGGAAGCTCAAGGTGTATGTCCTTTGTTTTGGAACTCACTGCTAATTTTGCTTACCATTTTCAGTTTTAAACCTGTCCACCAGGTGGCGTCTGAAATTCCACCGTGTCACCTTAACAAGGAAGTGGCCTTACCTGTCCAACCAGCCCTGCACCTGCAGTTGGTAAGACACGCCTCTTTCATCTGTGTGTGTAACCCACTCCCTGTCACAGAAACACAGACACACGAGCTCACCCTGCACGTAGACTCCGCCCTTTCTGAGGAAGCAACCTGGATACTCGCGTACTGTTCAAACAAACCAGCGTCTGTGAAGGACAGGACAGGGCTGGTGGCTGCACTTTCGTGTCTGTCCTCACTCTTGTTGCTATGTCTTCCCCCCGGAGTTTGGCCTTCTGATAATTGTTCTCGGCTGTTCTCGATTCGGTGCCACTTTAGAGACCGTCGACACGAGAGAGAGAGAGAGACATCCTTAAATGTTGAATGGACAGACCATGGGGTCAGACGAGGCCTACAACTTTGTCTTCAAAGGTAAGTGCATGTGTCACTGTTTGCAGCAAATATTTGCTGGTACATATTTACGTTGTAAGGGGTTCAAAAGCGCGTGATTCTGCCAATGGATTTGTCCCTGATATTGTAATCTTTTCTTTTCTTATAAACCCAACAATCAGCAGATCAAAAAGATACACTTTTTGAATCAATCATTTATTACAATTTGCAGCATTGCGTTAAGTGATTTGTTTAGCAATGTGCTACATTAGCATATTGCTAAACATGAACATGGGCAGCAGATAAACAGAGCCCACGCAAAAGGGCATCTGGACCAATAGGGACTGCGAGGCAACACTGCCGGCCTGTAATGGAAACACCACTCACTGCCCAATGACCTCAAGCCATTATCAGGCAGGGGTTTGTTATCATTATCATCAGGCATAAGACATTGGCTTTTCAAAATGGAACATGGAAGTTGGATGTCCCTGACAACACCCAGCCTATTGGAAGTGTTAGCGGAAGAGCACATAGAAGTCTTTGTGGACATTCTCAACTCCCCACACCCGCCTCCAGCCAAGCAGTTATTTCTAGTTAGTGCCTCTTAACCCACTTGTATTACGTTTCACTAACAATACAAAGTAGACCAGGGGGTCGGTAAACGGAGTGTTTTTTTAAATTATTTTCTGCAATGCCTCTTTTTCACGCCTCTTCGCCGCCAACTGAAATACTACCGAGCGCCTGGTAAAATGTATTTATTTATCTGTACAAACCACTGTATGAGTTCCTTTTTTTTTTAGCTAGGTTGAACAAGTAGCCCGCTCTGCTGCCATCTAGGGACTGGAGGCCCGATTATCGTTCAAGAATGAATAAAGTATACTGAAAGTCCTCTTGCGGCGCCCCACTATTGGGAGGGTGTCCCAATGTAGTGTAGTCAAGAGACATGCTGTCCGATAGGACAACCCGCCCTTGCGGCGGCGCCCCCCCTATTTGAGAAGCACTGGGTTAACTTAAGGAGGGTGTCCCAATGTAGTGTAGTCGAGAGACATGCTGTCCGATAGGACAACCCTGAAGCGTACGGTGGACTCATGGCATTTGAAGTTGAACCAGCATTGTGGCAGACATTCAGTTTGATAAAATGCCCAGTTGCATTTTCCAACCTATTAAGTACTGCTTGATTAAAAAAAAAAAATACAAAGAGCACAGTTGGAAAAAAAGGCATTTCTGCTAAATGCAAACAGACAAGAGTCTCTTCCTGTCTTCAAAGCGCTGTGTTTACATCACAACTGAAAGGCCTTTCTCTGGAGTGGGAACACGAAGTAGAGCTAGTGACTACATTTTTCAAACTGACTTTGTTGTTGTACTTTGTAGTCTGTTTATTTCTAGAAATATACTTATTCATATTGCACAGAAATTTATTTTAAAAAAAAAACATTCAGAATGATAGCATTTGAATGATAGCAAGCCTCCAGTCACTAGGTGGCAGCAACTCATACAGTGGTTTGTACAGATGAAAATCGAATGAATCCATTTTACATTGACTTTCGAACTTTCACGATTCACGAACGGCCTTCAGGAACAAATTAAGTTCGGAAACCGAGGTTCCACTGTATTATCTTTTTTTTTTTTTTTGGAGTTCACATATTCCAGAAGGAAGTGAACAAAACTGGACTGACTGAACAACTAGGCACAGCAAACACAGGGCAGACAGGGAAGTAAACAACAACAAGACATTGGGGAAAAGAGGTATTTTTTTTTACCCGAGGCACCAGGTGAGACATGTGAGACTAATCAACAGAGACGCACAGGGAAGAGAGACAGACAGAGGCAGAGAGAGACAGACTGACGTGACATTTAGGAAATGATCACCATATTACTATGTCTGTTTTCCTACAAGGAAATTACAAAAAAAAAAAAGACTTTTGTAAATGCCCAAGCAAAGACATGACTTGCCCTGCCATTTACCTGAAAAGCAATAATATATATATATATATATATATATATATATGTATATATATGTATATATATGTATGTATATGTATATATATGTATGTATATGTATATATATGTAATACATATATATATGTATATATATATACTGTAGTCTTCATTAATTCAGAAATGTACGGTTTACATTTGTTAAAAATTGTATACAAAATCTGTAAAAAAAAATACTGCGCCTCTCTTTGGAGTACGTTTTCAGTGAGCTCAGAGAAAATGCGTTTGCTGTGAGTCTGAAACCTGTGTTCTCATCTGTCCATTTCATTTAGAGAAGATCATTGTAAAAAAAATCTGCCACTTGTTTTTTTGGCCAATTTCTAAATGTCATGCAAGCTATATGTTATGAAAAAAAAAAACAAAAACAAAAAAAACCCTGAATGCTCTACACCACAAATCAAATCTGTCCTGATTAAACCACTCAGCCGTGTGAAGTCGGAGACTCCTGCCCTCCATCGCTATAGAAACCTGGCTCAGTGTTTACATAAGAAGTTACTCAGTAGAAGAAGATAAGACTAAGAACATTTTTTTACCTGACACACTAGAAAAAAATACAGCTGTAGCTGATCTGGCCTCATTGCTGGTTTAAGGAACTGGTTAAACATACTGGAATTTCGGAGCCAGGAGAAAACGACTTTGTGTTCAGAATATTTGAAGGAATAGCTTATCTTTTAACAGAATAGTTAGCCTTCGAATGTATCCTTGTCCTGAGCTCTTCTTATTGGATGGAAATAAATAACAAAAAAGTCCATGTTTCGCCCCCTAGTTTTCATGCAAATAAGTACCAAGTATATGAGAAAACATATCATGAACATGATTTGTAGGTGCATTTTTTTCACTTTCAAAATTCATCATCAAGCGAGCCGGATTGAATCCCCTAGTGGGCCGGTATTGGTCCGCGGGCCTTATGTTTGACACCCCTGCTCTAATGACAGTAACTAACCTCTCTATAGGCATAATTTGCATGTGTGATTGCAGTATTGTTTTTTTTGTTTTTTTACACACACCCATATTTGCACATTTTAGATGTAACTGTTTTAATACACCTCAAACGTGTCCATTTTATGCTAGCATAGCCAACTTCGGTCAGTTAGTGAGATTTATATTATTAGCAGATATATGCTAGCATTTTACACCTCCTCCAACCAATCGGCTTTTTGCCAGTCTCTTGTTAAACATTTACAGCATTGGACAAAATTGCTCTGTTACGTTTCAGTCATTTATTCCATCCGCGCCCCCCCCACTTTGGGAACCTCTGGTATAGAGTTAATTACTCAACCAGCACCTGTTAAGATATGCTCATGTTTTCCTATGGGAGTTCATTTTATGTCTTGTGTTGTGTCATGTCATGGTGGTCAAACTATAAACAAATAAATTACCGCAAGAATAAATTAAATATTACGGCTTGTGTAGTTGTTTCATACCACCATGTCTTTGAATTACATTTAGGATTTTCCCGCTAGTTGTTATATTGTAGCGTTTCAAATGTAATTTTGAATTCATTTCATATATATATATATCATCCTCAACTTAGCCTATGATATAAGCTAAAAAGAAATGTAACCAAACCATATAAAAAAGGGAAATTTGTTTTGGCCATAAACATAGTTCCATACCCTAAAACCTGACCGGCTTTTCAGGTTGTGGGTGCACATGATCGGATGGTTCCACCCACTCACTTATATCTTATTTCAGCTATCAGTGGGCCACACGGCAAATGATATTTTCTATTGTGTTAATCTACGAACTGTAAACGTACTGTTCACAACGGTTTCAAACGGTTAGCATTGTAAAATAACATCAATTCTTTTTTTTGTCCCAAAAAAAAAAAAAAAGTTCTTAATTTCAGATGTGATATACAGTAATTAAAACGCGAATGGTTAGCATTAGGACAATAAAAATCACTGTGCACTATTGGGTATTTGTCAGTAAAATGCCTTCGTTGTTTGTTTGTTTGTTTGTTTCTTTCTTCTGTTCAGTGGTATTGATCGGTGAATCTGGAGTTGGAAAGAGCAACCTTCTGTCCCGTTTTACCAAAAACGAGTTCAACCACGACACGCGCACCACGATTGGAGTCGAGTTCAGCACGAGGACGGTGCAGCTCGACACATTCACCATTAAGGCCCAGATCTGGGACACAGCAGGACTGGAACGATACCGGGCCATTACATCGGCGTGAGTCCTAAGAGTTGGTGGTTATGTCAAATGTGCAATTCGGAAACGCTCCTCTTTTTGTCGGACTTTACAACCCAGGGAACCGTATATGAGTGGAACTGAATAAAAAGTAATTTAATTCAGTTGTTGGCTTAGTGTTAATTGTGTATATAGTGAAATTAGTGTCAAATAATAGCAAGAATTGAGTCCTTTATTAAATTTACAGTGCGAGTCTTTGCGACCAACACAGGCTGCCACAGGAGGCACTGTTCTCCCTTTTCGTTTACGCACATGTACTCTGTCTTGCTGCGGCTGACCTTCATTCCTCTTCTTTCTAGTGCAAACCTCCACCTCTCTAGGTTCTCCTCTAGCTGCTGCCTACTCTCACTACAGATCACGATGTCATCTGCAAACAACATAGTCCATGGGGACTCCTGTCTGACCTCATCTGTCAATCTGTCCATCACCAAAGCAAACAAGAAGGGGCTCAGGGCCGATCCTTGATGTAGTCCCACCTCCACCTTG